CCTGCTATCTTTTGTCTTGTGCAACACATTCTCCAGTTCCTTGAGCTGCACTTACTTTTGAGATTTCTGCCTAAATTCACTTTTCTGTAATTCTTGTTTGAGACAGACTTCATGGTATGAACTACTGCCTACTAATTAAATGTTAGCAATTTCCTTTTCTAATAGATTAGTTCTAGTCACAGTATTGTTTTCTTTCCTCAGTAGATTTCTAAAAGTTGCTTAATTTTATTCCTGACTGCTGCCGGTTTGTGAAACATATGTGAAAACTCAAAGGGTATGTTTATTTTTACAATGCCTTTCTCTTGAGGTACAGCTAAATGTGTGCCAGGGTATTAGAACAAACAACATTAAAACATACAAATCACGTTCTCCAAGAGACACCTTTCTTTGTTCTCCGTCATGAGCAGAAAGAGAACCAAACAGTTCTACCACCCATCTTTTCCTTGCACAGCACTGTTCAGCACTCCTTTTATAGACAAGAAAACAGACTCAGAGACAGGAAGGGACTTGTACCCAGGGTCACATGTGGCAAGCAACTTGAGAATTGCCTTCTATTCATAGTTCTTTAAGTCCCAGTCAGGGGGGGGGAAGCATTAATCTCATGATGCCATCGAAAAAGGTGAATTATTGAAATAAGTGAAATAACTGCCTCCAATCCCCTCAAATAGTAAGAATTCAGCTTCCTAAATAATTGTAACATCACCTTTCCCACAGCGGTAATAGGATAGTTTCACTCCAATTATATTTTGTTCTCCTCATCTTTTTCAAGGCCAAAAGCAATGCTATGTCCTCCATTTCTCCTTTCAAGCTCTGTTACTTTCCTTACTAAAACTGCAGTCCTGTTCTCTGAACAGGCCAGTCAGAGAAGGGATTATGTTCAGACAGGATTTTCAGGTAACCGACCAAAAGGTGGAGCTTTCCTTTTCTGACACATCCCTTCTTATGCAGATTCCATTACACCTCATGTAATGGGAGTACCTCGCACAGAGAGAGGCATCAGAACATCACGGCATGTTCTGAAGAGAACCACTATTACATTTTAAACCATATTAAAATTACTCAAACAAAGGAAGGTCTGCAGTGTCAGTTCTGAATAACTGTTTAAAAACAGCAAATAAAGTTCGTAAAGAAATGATCCTGTCAAGTTTAAAAATAAATCTTTAAAGAAAAATAAAATAGACCTCTTATACAGCTGGGTTTAAGTCGTTCAGTTTGTTATGAGAACCTGTAACATGCCAAAAGCTTGTCAACCGACTTATTTCCAGCAGAAAAAAAAAAAGACAGTCAAGAAGTTACCGAAAGCTCTCAGCACGTTTTGTAGATGCTCTCCTTCAAATATTAGATACAAAGGAAGATGTCCTGCATTGGATTACTTCAGACCCTAAAGAAGTCAGCTTTACTATTGACTACATACATTTAATCTCAGAGGTTGTTCGGAACATTAAACATGTTGTGTGTAGCATCATTACAGTTTCATTTCTAGTTTTAAAGCAAAGTTTGGTATTATTATCTAAACAGAACAGAGCTCATTACCTTACCTTCTTGTGGGATGTTTGTTTCATTAGCAACAGCATATACCTACCGTATGAGCCTGGTGTTTTCTCTTCGTAAGTAAAATGAAGTTGTAGTTCCTCTTCGGACATTCGACTGATGAATACTTTCAGCAAACAGCAGATAATAAACAATGCATTGTGAGCTTGCCAAATAAAGAGGTGACTAGAAAGGAAGCAAAAGCAAATAAGAATCAGTAACGCAATTTGTGAACATACATTAAAAGTCACAACAAGGTATATGCCAGAGTAGACAAAGGGGTTCTTGTAGCTGAAGCAAAAAAAAAAAAAAAAAAAGCCAAAGTGCTCTAAAGTGTCAACTGAAGACTCTCTGCTACAGCAGATAAGTTAGAAGTGTATTTAAACACAGTACTTTTTTCCAAGAGGATATAGTTTTATTCCTAATAATAAGTTTGTATTATTAAAAACAACATAGTTGCCAGAAGCGTCACTCCCCACAAAGAGCCTACTAGACAGCTTAGTATACTCCTAAAGGTTTCTAGGCCCTATGAACTCAAATCCACTCAAACAGCTGAGGTCTTCCTACAGCTTCAACACGAAAGCTATTCTGACTCCCCAAACCTTAGCACTTTTCCTGATCCAATATTCCTCAGATGACTGTATGCACCTATGGACTACAGGACCACAAAACAGCAAAGGTATCTATTCCACTTAAGATTTTTCCCAGCTTTCTGAACGCAAAGAGAATAAAGCTTCACATTTTCTCGAGTCCCAGTAAGCAACTGCTGGGAAGCCAACACAAGAGCATATACTCAAGCTCTTGCTTGAAACTATGTTGTCAAGGTATTGCTAAGCTAAAGAAGCAGGAGGCACCTGGCATAAGTAACTTTCCTCCAGACAGGAGCAAAAAGGCAGAGGGCAGTTCCAGTAGGAAGGGGGCACTAAAGAAAACATCTGTTTTTTTGAAGTCATGGATCTGATGAGAGTTAGACATTTGCCAAGGGGTAGAGGGGAACAGTTGCAGCAAGCTTCCTGGAAGAATTATATAGTGCTGTGCATTTAACCTCTTGGATTTTCTTCCTACCGCTGAAAGAGGGAAGCAAAAATAATGACAGTTGCCTGACATGACTTGAAAGAAATAACTTTATGAAGAAGTTCCCATTCAAATCCAATCCAATTTGAAGTATTCCTGAGATAAAATATTTAATTTGTAAATTTTTAATTTATAAGTTAGCTTAAGTGCTATTTAAAAATCTCCTGACCTTTTAAGATGAAAACAACGTTTGCTTTGAAGAATCAAGCATTCACTTATCTGAGCTATTACACCTATCATTTAGGTATTAAAAAAAAAAAGCCAACCAACCGTCTTCCTCTGAGACGGTATTTACGCTCCAAGGGGTTTTGAGCGCTGCGCTACCAACCCAGTAATGGAGAATTTGTGCTGCATATTGGCTACATGCGGGGTCCACCCAGGGAAAAGTTAAGACAGCAGCACCTAAGGACTGCACAATAGGGAAGGCAGAAATTAGCACACAGCTACACATTTGGATCCAGTCAAACAGATGTGCTTTATGTAACACACAGGAAGAAGGCAAACATGCCTTTTCCCCTCCTGTAATCTATTATCTACTACACTTCACTGTCTATGCTTGAAAATGTACTAGATATATCTTTGTCTGCACAAGTAAGAGAAGTCTAAATTTTTGGTCTGGAAAATACGTTAACCAGCAGAGCAAAACCTCAAGAGCTAGCAACAAAAGAACATTTAAAAAGTGAAAGGGCACACACAGTTCTTCTCCATCTACTTACTTCTGACATTCTGCCGAAATTTTTAATTCTTTGGTTCTAGAAAGAAAGACTTTAATCAACGACCCAAGGTTTCCTGTTCGAGGATTCTTCTCAACTAGATGAAAGATTGCAAAGATATGATTATACAGCATTTGTAATTTGATACTATTTAGTTCAAAACAAGATACAGAGTGAAAATAAATTTCAGTGCCTTAAACATTTCTACATATGGTATAGTACAACAGGTTTTCTTCTTTAAGATTCTCCAGTGCATGCTTTACTACTCCATGATTGCTCTCTAAAAATACCTTTCAGCTTAGATTTAAATATACCGAGTGTGGAACTCCAACTGCTTCCTTTTCATGACTTCTTTACAGCACAATACAGTTCCCTATCAAGACATAGGGCTGGTTTTCACAGCTAGCTTTTACCTTCTTGTAACATCACTGATCACATTTATATTCTCTCCTCGTCATGTCCCGGTTATTTCTTCCCCCTCACTGTCTGGCTTGGAGGGCAAATGAGAAAGAAGAAGGGAGGGAGGGAATTGTTCTAATCCTTTCAGCCATTTCAATTTATACAACATAGTTAATATTGGAAGGTAAGTTTCTAAAAGTTAAGGACGTATAGACAAACTCTTATACACACTGTTTTAATCTTACTATTGGAGCACAGAGAGGTATAGTAAACAAAAGATATGAACATGCAAATGAGAGCTGTTTCTTAATCTTTCTGATAAACCACACGGAAAAAAGTCAAGATGTTTAATTTCTCACCTAAAGACTTGCAGACTGAGATAGTGGCTTCTTCCAGGAGCTTTAAGTCAGCACTAGATGGAAGGGAGGGGGGGGAAAAAAATCACCATGGTTACATAAGCAAACGGAGTTCCTGAAATCAAAGCAAGAATTCCTAACAAAATAGCAGGAAAAAATTTCCATGAAGCACTTAATTTCAGCAATCCATTAGCTGGTTTACATAAATACCAAGCAGCATGAGATGCATTTGAAATATAGTGGCTATAAAACAGGAAATTAATATTTAAAATTGAGATGTTGTCAAAGGGAGAAGTCAGCACATCATCTGTGTTACTGCCATGCTTGGTCTGATAAGTCACTGAAAATAAAAATAGAACCGTAGCTTTTACAAAGAACTGGATTTCATATTAGATTTTTATCATGTGAAGTAACACCTCTTCTAAAAGCATAAATTAAAGAATCCTCAACCTGACATTTAACCTCAAGCTGAGCACCACTTTCTGTTACGTAATGTTATCTTACCGCAACAACCACTTGCCACACACACCAAGTTTTTCATAATTTCGCTAATTGCCAGTTGGTATGCTTCAACAAAACAACATCAGCTTAAACGAACAACAAAACACTAAAGCAGAACCCGCCAACGACCGCTTGAAGTAAACACCAGCTGTGTCAAATGCATAAAAAACACATTTTCTTCTACTGCTACAAACCTACTAGTACAAACTAATCGATCCTCAAAGGTAAAGCCTATTTTTCCTTAACAGATGGGGAAAAAAATAAATAAATAATAATCAGGCATTTTGCCCAATGCCACATGAAGCAAGCTGAAGGTGTCCTAGTAACAACACCTAAAAGCTCTAACCTCCTCTCAATGCATATTAAAAGTAATACTAGAACGCAAGCTTCTTCTCTTCAAACTTGATGCTATCGAAATGACAACTGACACTTACTAACGTACGATACAACATAAAGCCAGTTGATTTTGCACTTATTTGGATTTCTTATTCCACTTTACTTGTTAAGAAGTAAATGTTACTCGGGTTAAGAGTTTGGAGTCCGTTCCATTTTCCAAACTCGCACTTCAAAACAGCTAAAAGCCAACACATTTTCCTGGAACGCTGAAACCTGTATGCAATGGCATATTTCATCAAAAAATTACTATGTGTGACCAGGTACACGAGTAAACTCTTGACTGTTCAGTCACCATCTCAGTAGAAGAAATACAGCTCCCAAAAGTGGGATCTCTCTGAACATCAGACAGGGATACGGTTAAAGGGATAACTGAATCCAGCAGGTAAATGTATATGTCCGATATCAGAACAAGCTTTGTTCCCTGTTCTATCACTTTAATTTCTCATTTATAATGGAGAGAATCAGGCACATATCACAGGATCGGGCTGGGCAGAAGGCAGTTTATATTACAGGGAGCAATCAGCCATCGAGCTGAGAGGTGCAGATAGCTTTCAGGCTTCCTTTTTTTCCTCCAAGGGCTCCTGCTTTCAGTTTCTTGGAGCATCTTTTCATGCCCACTGCAAAGATGAAGGCTGTGGCACATGCGCTTCACAGCCACGTTACCTCCCGACTCTTCCATCCATCCTCACTTAGTTCTTTCTCGCGCAGATTCTCTTAGCGTTTTCCTTTCCCATATTCCAACCAACCGTGGGCTACAGACTCCCTCTACTGTGCCGCTAAAGCACAGGCCTAAAAGAGTTGGCAGAGAGAACAATTAAGTAGATCCAAACATTTCCTGCAAATGCAAATATGTTGTTAGACCTCAGTAGCGTTAAAAACTTTGCTCCTGATCATTCCATACAGTGCTTTGAGGTCCCTGGATGGAAACTGTTACAGAACTGTAAAGTGGACGTATTTAATAATTTACTTCAGTTCACTTTATAGCAGCAAAACAGATAAGAGAGAAAAAACAGCATTTAGCAGGCCTGGAAATTGCTCCTTCCCCACTCCCCTGCCTCACCTGCCACGAGGCACTCCCTAGCTGCAGGGAAGTCCTGATCTCCCACAGAAAGGGGTCGAAGAACCTGCCTGAAACTCCTTTATTTGTGAGATGTTTGGCCCTATATGCTTTTGTACATTCCCAGTTTGTGTACCCATGCAGTCACTACAGATCATTCCACATGCTCTCAGTAAGAAAATAAGTTAAAATAATAGCTCAAATCCCTATTAAAAATTCAGGAGATGCACGCAGAAGCAAAAATCTCTAAGAGATAAAATACAAAATAGCTGAGTTCCCCGGCTGACTCTCCCACTCACCCACAACTCAAAAATGAGATCTGTGGCCCATCTAGGCCAATATAAAATTTCCAAGAGCTGCCAAAATAAGGCACCTCTTTGGAAAAAAGGCAACAGCATTTTTCTCCATAGCGCACACAAACACCAGGCATACGTAAGAAGCCATCTTCACAAAGTTCTCACCTTAAAGTTTAACATTACAGACTACTATAAAGCCTGAAGCAAGACATTTTATATTATATTTGGGCACATTTTGAAATATAGGAAATTCCATTTAAACGCAAGAAAAACTTTTACTCTGAGGGCAATCAAATACTGGAAAAGGCAGCCAAGAGGGGTTGTGGAGTCTTCATCCTTGGAGATGCTCAAAACCCAACCGGATACAGCCCTGTGCAACGTGCTGTAGCCAACCCTGCTTTGAGCAAGGAGGTCAGACTAGACTATGCTCAGAGATGCCTTCCAACCTGAGCACTTCTCTGATGTTTCTTTCACTGCAACTCCTCTCCTCGCCAAATCCCAGATACTCTAGTAATTTGCATGAATGCCTAATCTTCCTAAATGCTTGCCCAGACACCTTCTGTGTCCAAATTTTAATATAATTACTCTAACCAAAATAAATGTTTTGTTAATTTGCATCCGAAGTCAATAACATAAATGCAAAAGCCTGGACATACCCACACCCCAGCTGCTGCACAGGAAACCTACAGGACCCAAGATCATTCCCAACATCAACATTAAGTTGGAGTAGCACTCATGATAGTGGGAGACATAAAAGTGAGATGCCATTAGGTATAAAAGGGAAATACTTATAAGTAAAAATATGTAAGGAGAACCATTTATCTGTAAATCAACAAATGCATCAAAAGGAGAAAAAAGAAATTAATTTCTTTAGCTCTCCTTACAAGATTCTTATTATGGTGCCTTCCATCAGAGGAGAATCCTTCCCTGTTTAAAAGGCAGTGCAAGTAGCACAAGTGGATTTGCTAAAGCTCCCTTTATTTTCCACTTTCCTACCAAGATCGCACTGTCTTCAACACCAGTTTCAAGGCTTCACATATAGCACCATTCTCCATTGTGCTCTACGTCCCTGTCACCCACAGCAGCTCTCATCTTTTTTTTGTTTTGTTGTGGGGGGGGGGGGGGGGGGAAGGTTCACTGAGAGAAAGAAAACACCAATTCCAAGCCCCAATCCTTAGTCTGCAAACACCATCTGGAAGTGACTTTACGGTAGGATGACCAGGATACGAGAGAAGATTTTACAGCCTCTCTACAGACTCAATTAACATACAGACTGATCTACAGGAATGACAGTTACTTTACTGTCCCAAAAATTAAAATTCAGTTTAAAAAAGTTTCATGCTTTAAGATGCAATGCAATGTACTATAGGCTGAACAATTTCAGAGCTCATCTGGCTATATCCTTGTAATTAAAGGTATGAAAGTCATCCTACTCAGAAGAAACAGGAAGCAGCAACATAATGAAACCCAAATCGTAACTAAGAACGTAAGAGGCCAGCGGTACGGCCTCTGTTCAAACACTCTTCGCATATAAAAATACTGTAAAATTTAATACTACTATTTAATATTGCCAAAGCTGCTGTTGCTTCTTAGGCATTTGCTTAAATTTTCCAATGAGTAACCTCGTTCATATGAAAGCAGAGATTGAAGACAAAAGAGGTGTGATCCCACATACGCTTCCTCCTGTGGCACAGTTAGATTTAAGAAATTCCTGTCCTACTTGCTCAACCCTATCTTAGCAACTACCGCTGTGCCAGGGAAATTTTAACAGACAGTAGTGGGGGAAAACAACCTTCTTTGTTTTTAAATTTAGATTCTAATCCATTTTATAGGACAGTCCCAAAACCAACTGCATCCATCTAAGAGAGACTAATTGTGGTCCTGAGTTGGACTCCCCTCAACTAGCTCCACCGTTGAAAACCCATGTGAAATTGGGCTCTTAAACTGTTGCGTTTGTCTGAAACGTTCCCATACTCTCGAGGACTAGAAGAAGTAGTAAGGGTATGGGCAGGAACAGCAACCAAATGAATTATTTCAAAGCTTTTCAATAGGAAGCACTTCAAGGTAGAGACAAACAGATTAAGATGCCTGCAAATTATCCTGTATATCACACTAATTTACTGAGGGCAGCTCATGAGACAGCACTTTACCTACAGTTTAATACCCTACAATCATTTTAGATTATGCAGATGAGCTCTTAATATCAACTGTCAGGATATGTTTCAAGGTAATTTATAAGGGAGGAAAGTAAGTTTCAGAAAGCACAAACTGCACTTTGATATATACTTTTAAAAAATTAAAGTTAGTCTCAAAGGTGGTCTCCTGTTTCAGTGCTAAAAATATGCAGAGTAATTAAAAACAAAAGCTAGAACACCGCATCAACAGCTACAGACAGTGCAATCTTCTAGGTGCAAATGAAACAAGGACCTCTTGCACTTTTTGTTTTTAAACTTCTAAATTTGCTGTCCAGCTGACTGCTTGTCATCAAGTATTCCTTCCTAGTACCTTACAGGCTGGGAGAATATTATATTGGACCCCAATGCACTACAGAGATCTAAGATACTGCACAATCTTAATTCAACAAAAAAAAAATTCTCCTCCCAAGATCTAAAGATGCTGGGGACTTCTGTAATACAGATTGAATAATTACTGTAGCCACTCCAGGATTTAAACTTTAAAAGTAGACATTAACTGTTTACTTAAAGTCCATTTTCCCCTTATTTCCAAGCACTCTGCTTTACAACTGTGGAATTCTTGCAGGTTTTTTGTTTTTGGTTTCTTTTTTTAAAAACTTCTAGTTATTCAA